GAGCAGAGTCACTACTACAGCTCTTGAGAGGACTAGGTGCGACTTTTCCCACTGCTGGGTAGTGCAAAGGGCTTATGGTAAGCACCCCATTTGGTCTTTATGGGCTCAGTTCTGCCACCCATAGAAATCAGAGAGACTACTCAGCGTGTAATGAATGTATACAGAACACGTCACAGGACACCACCAATACCACACTGAGTAACTGAGACTGCCGACCAGGGAAATAACCCACTTCCTTCCCTGACGAACCAAGGGACACACCCCACCCATGTACTCATTCGCTACACCGATACTGACTTGGACTCCTTATTCATTCCATGGGTGGCGTACCCGAGCCCATTTATCCACTGACACTTGAAAAACTCTTGCACCCCAATCTGGGTCTATGCCGGTTATGTGATATGTATGTATCTCTTCACCCTTGCAACCGACACCTGTAATCCCTCATAACCCAAGCCTGACCCCAGATGTACAGTACCTTCCCTCTTAACTTGTGTATATTTCATTTTAAACATTCACTTTAATAAAATTTTTATATTTGATGTGAGTAAGGGTGACGGGATCCGGCACTAAGGGCGCATAAGAGCCTGAATGGTGTCTGCCCCTTGCACCTAGATACAAGGAGGGAGGCTCCTTAGAAGAGCTGTTTGGAAATGTTACGATTGCACGTTTTTCTGCTGGAAAATGTCAATTCATCCAAGTGAAACGTTTCCTGGGAACATGGTGATTTCGATGAAGTTTCGTTTTAAAAAACCCAACACAACATTCAACTAATGTTGCCAGGATCTGGTTTGACGTTTCCGGAGAGGAATGCTTTGACTTTTTGCTTAGAAATGACTTTTTGTTTCAAAATGTATTGTATTTTATATATTTGTTTTAAATGTCCAGTCAGGACACAATGTTTTGATTGACCCGACATGAGAAAAATGTTATAATTTCGTTTTGCAGACCGTGGAATGAAAAAGAGAAAATGATCTTGCAGAATTTCCCCCTTGGAAAATCCCGTGCCCACCCAGCGGTTTTCTTTACACTCTCACTAATCCTGGCACACCTACACAAGGCCAACCATAATCTGGTCCATAAGGTCAAATTCCTCCTCCTCCCCCTCCTCCCTAGTTGAATTCCTCTGAGTTCAGAGACGTTACGTCACCGATGAATTTGGCCCATAAAGCTTGGCCTGTTCACTAATAAACAGAGCATATACGGTGTCTGGCAGATGATAGCCCCTAATTATGTTGCTCTGTTTCTAATGCTGAATGCTGACTGCTGCTAAATCGATCCAAGATTAAACATCAGGTCCCTGGGGAACAAAGGCAATGCAGTAACATTTGGTATCCCCCCAATTCTAATTGCACTTCAGTGGCCGGAGAGCCGTTGTATGGAACAGTAGACAAGGTACCTAGTAAAGGTGTTAGGGTTTAGTCACGGAAATGTTTTCTGACACCGTCACATTGACAGCCAAGTTCAATCTGAATTAAGACTGAGAGTGCATATCAGTACATTGAAGGTAAAAATTCTTTAAAAAGCAAAAGAATGGGAGGAATGGAAAAATAAACAAAATGCAGACTTTTGAAACTGGTAAATGCCCAATAACCCACCCAACCTTAACTGTTGCCACCAGCACAATCTTCAAAAACAAGAAAACAAACACTGAGATACCCGATCGTCTAACAGTCATAGACTCATCTCGTCACGGACCACAAAGACTGATGTGTCCTGTGGTTACCCCAGCTCCAGCCTTCTTTACAGTTATGTGCAGTCTATAGCAAAAGATACGCTTTATAAATTCCCTGTCAGACCATCATTCCCCACTCTTCACTGAGGGCCTTATCCAAAGGCCATTGAAGACTTTCTATTGCCTGCATAGGGCTCTGGAAAAGGTCCTCAGATGCCATGGGTCATAAGTGTGACCAGGGTGTCGTTAGGCACAGAATAGTGCTTCTTAGGCCCAGATCATGACATTACATTTGCTTTACATAAAACAACAAATGTCAGTATGGGGCTTAATTGTCAGATTTAGTATCAGAGATGTGTTCATGAAACTTTACTGTGATGGGAATGTGCGTTGGTGGGTGCTTTAAGGCACAGTAGTTGAGCCAGGCAAGCTTTGTAAATGCCTCAGCTCCACAACGATCCTCCTGGATGTGACAATCTTTAGGAAAATGACTGGATTCTGCAGGTCCTAATTTGCCAGTGAATGACTTCTTTTATACGCTGTCCAGTGTCTCAGATTTGATCCTGTGCACAACATCTCGCCGAGCTCTTTCAAGTAAACCTCCATCTGAAGTCTCCCAGGCAAACCATTTTGAACTAGGACATGGCAAAAAGCATTAGAAGAATTTTCAAACTATGAAGGACACCTATTTTTTCCCTCAGTCCTACTGCTTTAAAACCACTTGTCAGAATAATCTCAAATTGGGTTAAAAACTACTGACTGCTGGCCACAAAACACACACAAGAGTAAAAGCATTTTTACTTGGAATTTTACAGTGTGTGGGGGACGGCGGGGGGACGACACTGAGCTTTCAGTGGGAAAATGGGCATAATCGGGCTTTCCGCCTTATCTACAGAGCAGCTGCTATAGTTAAATAAGTGGCTACCAAATCATGGCACCGTATATGTGTATTATATATAATTAATAATATATATATATATACGTGTGTGTGTGTATAAACAGACTATTATTATGCCATATTTTTCAGAGTACTATGGATTTGTATTATTATTAATAATATGCCGTGCTTTACAAAAACCTAAACACGCAAAGTCCCTGCGCAATAAGCATCCTCTTGAATTCCTATTATTGTGCTACAGTAGCTCTCTTTGCTTTGCCTATCCCGTTAACACCACAATTAATACTTCAAAATTTGGCTTTGAAAAATCAACACTGGAAAAAAGTCAGAAATTGGCAAGGTTCATTTAAGGCATTTCTGACAGGTTCACCTCTTGTTCATGCTGCTGGCTATAAATAACAATCCATTTCTCTTCCTATTTATGCTCTCTGCATTTCAGTTCTTGTTCACAAACAAGGTAAGTGTCACAATAACCTGTAACAGTCAATGTTGATGAGAAAAGGTGCAAATAGGAGACAAAAAGACTTAGTGATATAACTCAAGCACTGCTAAAATCATGGCTGATAAACAATACGTGGGACTGGAAATCGGTGAACCAAAATTGGTGTGTCGGAAATTAGGCCTTTGGTGGACACAGTAATGAGGGGACGGGCTATTTCACCAATCACTCCCTTTTGGAGTATGTAAAAATAAAAGAAGAGACTTTGAGGGGAAAATATGGACGGACGGACGGATGGAAACGCTGCCTGACCGAAAGAAGAGAGAAGGGGAAGGAGCAAGCTTCAGCATCATGGCTGCCACCCCCATCATCTACCGGGGACCCTGGAAGATCTTTGTCATCCTAAGCCTGAAGGTTGGCCAGACCAGACAGAGCCAAGAGAGAGGCACCCAGATGGCATTGCCACCTCCACCAGCCCTGACTAAATCCTGACTACCGCCTGGGATGTAAGACTTTGTCATATACCCCTCCACTCACCCCATGTGTCCTTTTCCTTCCCCCACCTTATTTCTCTCTCTCCCGTCCCTCTCCTTTTTCCTTCAGTCTAATAAGAGTCTGGCTTAGCCAGCCACGTCTGTGTATTTCGCAACACTGCTGCAAGCCTGTGACCAAGGAGGAAACTTTGAAAGCAGTGCCCTGAGCAGCCCGATACTGGCCCAAATTTGCACAAGTTCAGAGTGGCTAATGAGACAATGGGCCGGGCCTGTGTTTTTCCAACAGTGAGGCTGCAAGTGAGAATCAATACCAGAGAGAGAAGCTGCATTTTCTACCTGTGCTGTTCATTTCTTTCCCCTGTTGTGTGCGATTGCCTTGGATTGGATTCTAACAACAACAGCTCCAGTCCATTTCAGTTCACGTCTTCTCTTTTCCCCAAGAGGACTGTTATTGCCAGCTTTAATACCATCTAAGAGTCTGTGAAATGGCCGGGGGGTGGTTCATTCTAAAACCTCTCTCCAACTAAAGGAAACGGGAACAAGGGACGTTGCTAAAATGAAAGCCTTCCTTAATACTTTACATTTCAAATGCTTGAATTGTGTTCCCTTCTTCTTTCTGTATCTTTAAAAAAGGGTGACAACGATTTTTTCTGGTGTGTTTGCCATGGTATTAAGCAGGCTGGGGTCTCTGTGTAACCAAGCCTTGTTTAAAACTGCGTAAGTCTGGACAGTGACAGGGTCATGTTAACACCTTTGACTTTTTGGGCCCATTTATTCCATCTAATGTAATACAACAGGCGTAAACAATACATGAGATCGGTTGGTTTTCTTTTAGTTTTTGGGGTTATTTCATTGCTAACGAAACAGCCAATTTCTGCTCAAATGCAAATCACAATTCAAATCAAGCTGGAAAAAAAAGGGTTTTCTAGGATAGTGCAAGTCAGTAAAGCATGGGAATGAGTGGTGAGCGTTGATTCAGTAATCCTTATGTTGATGACTTCAGTGGGGCTACTCACTGAAGTAAAGGCTTGTCTGCCTGGGAAGTTATTCTGGACTAGATGTTCCTGATAAACTATTCCTGATTAACTCCATGTGTTATTCTAGAATAAGAGTGCCTTATTCCAAATTAATTAACTCCATGTGTGGATGCCAAAATGGATTAAATCAGGAATAATTAATCCACTTTGAATTCACATGCTACTTTATTCTTGATTATTTTTTATGTGTAGACAAGACCTTAGAGTTGCACAATTGAGACCTAAACTAGCCAAGAATAAGCCCTGAAATGTTGTGAACATAGAAACTGGAAACCAGAATCCCTTGTTACAATGAACCTCACTTAGTACAAATATGTGTTCTAAAAATAATGCTCAGTATTCGGAAGTCTTGTATATGGTCCCAAAATGCAGGGCACTAAACGTAGTGACGTCAATTGAACTAAGGGGTGGATTGAGTTGTTTAACAGTAGTCACAAATTCTGTTTCTGTTCTGCAGGCTTTAAATAGTTATAGTCAAGGAGACATTGAAGGATCAAGAAGACTGGGTCGCAATGCACTCTGGGTTGCTGTTGCATCAATCATGATTGGCCTTCTGATTATTGGGATCTATTGTGTAGTTCACTTCACAACGGTAAGAAAAGTTTGGTCATTTCCAATACAAGTAGTTCTTCCTTGAACAGGAGTTTCATTATAAGGGATTGATGACTGTGACAGACTGACACTATTCACAGTGTTCATGTTATAATTCAAGGGTTCACTCTCATTAACTAAAAGAGCAATTTTTGCATTATTTCTTATTTAGAAGTAAAGGAGGTAGTGTTGTCTGGTGGTTAGAGCAGAGGGCTGCGTGATAGGCATACTGGGATCTCCTCCAACCTTCGCAACTCACTCACTGTGTACCTTGGGAAAGTCACTTATTGCTCTATGCCTCAGTTTCCCTACCTGTAAAATGAAGTGCATGGAGCTCCTCAGATGCAAAATTCTAGTGTGTATAAATACCAAATCTCAGGATCAGAAAAGAGACACTGGGTCTGTTGTAACATTGCCAAACAGGAGAAGAGATGTGATTACTGATTCATTTTTTGGTATTAACTAGCAGTAATCATGCCAAAAAGCAACCATCTGTTTCTCATTGCCTTGCTATAAGTGAAAGTTGTCCACACACACTCCTATGTACAGATGATCAGCTTTTATCTTTTTGTAGCCCTGGAGGAGAAACAAGTCCTTTTTTGTCTTTCTAAAGTGATTTATCCAGGCAGAGGACACGTTTATAATGAAAACAGGACAGAAATAATTAGGACAACAATATATTCTCTTCAGGCTGAGCAATAATATGTTCTTTTCTCTTTAGCAATGTGCATTCCACACAGTTAAATCCATTTATTATCATCTAACCTCTACAGAACCCCTTCCTTCCCTAAAGCATCCAAAATGCTTTACAAGCTAATGTACAACTTGTAAAGAGAGAGCACCTCAGCCACCACTGAAATGCAGCCATCTCTGGGGAGTGGAATGCAGTGGCCGTTTAACAGTGCACAACCACTTCAGACAGAACAATGACTGCAGGGAGAAGTTAAGTAAATAGACTGTAATTACATAGGAGGTTGGAGACAGCACACCTATGTTTATGAAAAGTGACGTGAGGTCAGGGACTTAGCTGTCTAGCTCACTGGAAGGAGAGAACCTCCAGTAGCTCAGTGCCCTTTAGCAGCATACCGAGATATTGATTCCTGTACTGACTCAAAGCCAAGAGTTTCCTTAGAGGTCTCCTGTCCAAATAGTCGCCCAATCTTGCCTTGCTTTGCTTGAAACCTGATAGGATCACAGACTCAGGCGGTAGGGTTCACTGGGTTCCCCCGTCTTTGTAACTGCCCAGCCTCTGCATTTCTTTTCCTTCTCCCCTCTCTCGTCATTGAGGAATCTTTTGACTGGGGCAGCAGCTCTCCCTTTTCTTGTATAATGAGAATGTGCAAACAGGCTCACCCAACTGACCTTTTCTGATAGCTGCCTGATATGCCACTTTTTCTTCATAAGCAGTCATGGGATAAGAGGGCAGGTCCTCTCATGGATTGGGAACTGGTTAAAAGATAGCCAACAAAGGGTAGGAATAAATGTTCAGTTTTCAGAATGGAGAGAGGGAAATAGTGGTGTCCCCCAGGGGCCCAGTCCTATTCAACATATTCTTACCAGATCTGGAAAAAGGGGTAAACTGTGAGGTGGCAAAATTTGCAGATGATACAAAACTACTCAAGATAGTTAAGTCCCAGGCAAACTGCGAAGAGCTACAAAAGGATCTCTCAAAACTGGGTGCAGATGTGGTCGTCCCATCTCAAAAAAGATATATTGGACTTGGAAGAGGTTCAGAAAAGGGCAACAAAAAATATTAGGGGTATGGAACAGCTGCTTCATCCAATTTACTTGTTATTGACATAATGGCTTAACTGACCTGTAATGCCCAGGATCTCGCCTAGCATTTTTTTTAGGACACATACAATATTTGTCACTCTCTGGTCCAGTCGCTGATTTAATGAGTCCCTGTTTTGGGTAGCAGCTCAGCCCCATCATGCTTAAATTCTTTCAGAATGCTTTGGATTAAGACCATCTGGTGACTTGCACTTTATGACAGATTTTCAAAGGACCCTGACTCCTTTTGAATTACACCTGATTCTGTTAGGTCCCTTTCATAATCCCAGCCACTGTTATCAGTTGGTTCCAGCTTCTCCTCTTTTGGCCCCTCCATCCCTGAAGATACACATGTGCTCAGTCCCTCAGGAGAGGGAGCAAGCCCTCAGGCTAGTGGTTGGATCAGAGTTGTAAGAAGGCTCCAGCGGTACCCACACCAAGCCATCCTCAGCTGGCTGGAAACTCCTAGTAATGCAGGGCTGGGCTGCTGGGGGTAGTGATGGTAGCAGTGGCAGAGGGGGAAGTGAGGATATTCCACCCCAACGCAAAACAATGGCAAGAATTGTACTTTCTATTAACTGCAGGCCCCGCCTTAACTTCAACAGGGAAACAGGATTCGGTAGGTGTTCTTGGGAATCCCCTTGAATTTTCTAGCCAAGTCTGGCATTTCTGAACTGTGGCGTGAACAGAAATGGATTTGGAGTGACCACTGCTAGGTTTGTCATCCTCTGTGACAGATTATGGGCCTGCTAAGGCAATGTGCCTGCAGAATCAGGCTGCCACTGGGCCCTCGAATTCTGCTCTCTGTGACAAGGGCCTTGTCGCTCCTGCAGATGAGCTCAAAGATCAGACACAGCTGGGAAGAACTAGAGCATGTGGCGAGTCCACTAGCAGCTTGCGAATCACAGGAACTGCCAAAGATGGTTCTGCAGCAGACTGAAAATAGATCAGGGCAGGGGACTGGTGGATTCAGAAGGGAGAAGAGCTCTTTATATTTCAGTGAGCTCCTACCCTCGGAGGAATCCTGCCCTTCTCTGCATAGCCTGAATAGTTTTATTCAATCCCTCTGGTGAGTCCTGAGGAACCAGTCGGAGGGTTAGAGCAGCTGGGAGGCTGGCCCAATATGTTGGGAAATGTCTAGAGTCTGTTTGCATGGTAAAGATTTACCAGGAGGCAGACACTGAGCCAAGTTCTGGGCTTGTACGGGTGACCCTCAGAGCAGAAGTTGTTCTCCTGTCTGTCAGGATGGCACTTTCTCTCTAGGGGGCTATAACGGGGCTCACTACTCACTGCTGGGGTGCCTCCTTTCGTGGCTTGTCTGGGGACTAGCTCTCAACTGGTCTGAGGCCCCCTCCTTCGGTTGCTTGCCCCGCAGTCTCTCTCTCTCTGGACTCAGGTGACGCCCTCTTCATCATTCAGTCCTCCGGCCAGATCACCTAGTCCTCCCATTCTGAGGTGTCAAAGGCCCTTGGCCCAGGCAAGAGGGGAACCTGGGCCCACCCACCACTCTGGACTGCAGCCAGGGACCCTACGCCCAGCCACCGCTGTCTGCTCAAGGTCCAGTCTTGTTGCTGTTTCCCTGGCCTCTTTCCTACCTTTCTGCCCTATCGTCTGGCCCATCTCTGGGTTACCACTGCGGCCCCCTCTGCTCCCCATGGCTACTTCCCCCTCTCGGCTACTTGTCAGAGTCTGTAGTCCAAGACTGGTTCCCAGGGCTCACTCTGCACCTAGTTCTCCTCCTTGTACTGAGCCAACTCCTCTCCCCTCTAGGGAGTGACAACACAGCTCCTCCCTGCAGACCTCCTCCTACCATCAACTTCCTTTCTTTATAAGCCTGTCCCAGCTCCTCCCCCAGCTGGGTTTCATCAGCCATTCGGCTTTACCAGTCACTGGTTCACCTCCAGGTGCAGCCTGTAGATTAATGTTTAGCTGTTCAAGCCATGTGCAGGGAGGACACTGCATCACAAGGACATGTGGGAAACATCCATTTTAAGCTGGGAAATGACATCTGACAGATAGGATGAGGCACAGCCTGGTTAAGGGAGTATGGAGTCCCTAGACATGATGTTCGGTAGGACACTGAGAGGCTAAAGTGCCCCACAGTTTGGAGTTTCTAAACCAGTGCTCCTTCTGCCCAGTCATTAGCCTGGCCCTGGGGTCACTTTAGCTGCATTAATAGATTTCACAGCAAGTGCATGTCGAATGAGACATGTTTAGTTTCACCTTTAAATTTTGCATGGAAATGTTGTTTCAAAATAAAACAAATGCACAAAGTGTTTAGATGCCAAATCGTTAGCAGAATACAGACTTAGCAGCACCAGCCTCAGAGGAAACAGATTTGTGTTTGGTTTAAATTGGATACTTTCAAAACCAGATGGATTTACTTTCTCAATTCACTGGGGCAACTCTAGAGAAGATTGAAAATCTCATTCGGTATAAATCCAATCCTCATCTGGAAATCAGTGGCGCTTACTCCAAGTTATACCAGCTGAGGATCAGGCCAAATCAGATTTTGAGTTTTGTTTTTATATTTGCACGATTGACATTTTCACTAATTGTGCAAGGGTAAGACTTGATTCTCTCAGTCGGTGCAAACTTTGGCCTGCCCTTGTCTATGCTTTGGAGCCAGTGCTAGTTGAACTACTTTAACTACTGAATCTGGGCTATTCCCAATGCAGACAAGGCCTAACAGAAGGTGTAAGATAAAGAAGGCCCCTTCCCTGCTATACCTTGTACCCTCTCCTGTTAGTTTCCTTCCACAACCCCTTCCACTCCTTCGGTATGTAACTGACACTCACACTGACTTGCTAAAACGTAACTTAAGCTACTGCTTATCGCACCACCAAGTTTAGCCCCAAATGTGAAGCTAAAGGCATTTTATCTAGGTGAAAAAAGCTGTGTTTGCCCTGCAGGAGCCAATACTCCCTACGACCTAAACAGGGCAGGGAGCAGTTCCCTTCACACTGCGTTAGGCCATAACTACGCCGTAATGTGGCTAGTCAGAGTGAACGGTATGAGCGCCAATGTCGGACCTGCTCATCATGGGCCTGAGCTAAAGTCCATTGAAGTCGATGAGTCTTTCCACCAACCTCACTGGGCTTTGGGTGAGGATCCATGTTGCCTGCTGGTGAGTGCAGCCTTCCAAAGCTCTCATCTCTGCCCCAGCTATAGCGAATGGGGATTCTTCTCTGGTGCAGCTGACAGAGACCTGGATTTGTGGAGCAGAGGGTCTGAAGTTGTGTTCCTGCTGCCAGCTGTGGAATCCAGGGAGCTTCAGATTTCATTCCGGTCTCACTAGCTGCAGCGAGGACAGACTCCTGAGCTCAGGTCGCAGCAGTGAAATGAGGGAGGCCCCAGTTTTTCAATGTTTTTAAAAGCATATTTATTTGTCATATTTATACTATGCTCCAAGGGGAGCCCCCTCGCCCTCTGCAGCAGGACTGGATTTGCTCATGATTCTGTGAGTAATCTGTGATTTTTATACAGCCTTTTACAGTCCTTATTTTTAAAACCACGTCCGTTTGACTCGAACATGTGTGCAAGTGGTGATGCGGGCGCTGTTGGGAGCAGAGTTAGAGATCAAATTTGTTTTGTTTTCCCATTAAGCACTGAAACACGTCCGCTAACGACCAGTTCTTTGGTATGGGGCTCCGAAGGGATTTACTAGTCAAAGTTGGAGAGAGCTGAATAGAAATGTGGGGAACCACTAAGCACTGATACAGCAAAGTAAAAACACTCACCCGGCTGTATAGACCTGACTGTGAAATACAGACAGCCTGAGGATGAGGAGGGGTGGCCAAAATACTAAAGGGAAGGGATACAAGGGGTGCCTGCCAATGGACAGGCACTCGGAGCAGTTTTCATTCACATCAACAGCTCATCCTCCCAATTTGTCAGGAACCGAGCTGCCAAAGGGCAGGTCGCGTTACCAGCTGGTGGATGCACACATGAGGAGGGCCGTCTGTATTCAGCTCCTTTCGAATTTCATCCCAACTGTTAGGATAGTTTAACATTGACGCAGAGAAGCAAGACCTTTTGACTCCCCCTTTTATCCCTGTTTAGACGGCGCTTCACCCCATGCAAGTCCCAGAGAGCTTTCAGGAAATAACCCCTTCCCGTGGCTCAGAGGGGAAATATGGGAACAGTCCGGCTTTCTAAAACCATTGCAAGTACTAGTCCCTTTCTTTTTAACGATCATAGGGCCCCAGACATTCTGATTTCGTGTTGGGCAATCCTTGCTGGAAGGAAGAGGATTAAGCAATTATGCAATCTGCCAGGCACAGTGTACACTGAGATCTTTTCTTACTAATTTCTCAATTACTCTGTGGAAGGAAAAGATACATAACGATAATACTCTTCACTTCTGTAGCATTTTCCACCTGAGGACCTCCAGGTACTTGACAATCAGGAGTGTATTAAGCCTCACAGGACATGAGCACGCAGCCCATGGCAGTGAGCTCCCAACCCAGGTTGACAGACTTTGGGCTTGCAGGGCTCATGCTAGCGGTCCAAAAATAGCCTTGTAGACAGCGCTTCGAAGTTGCTGCCGAGGCTGGAACTCGGGCTCAGCATTTTAGAGCGCTAGCGTGAGTCCTGTTAGCACAAGTCTCTTGACGAGGAGGCTGGGAGGCTCACTGCCGCAGGCTATGTAAACATACCCTTAATGCCCTGTGAGTCTTGAAATTATTATATTCTCCATGTTCCAGATAGGATAAATTAAGGAGTCGCAAGATGAGTTGACTTGCCCACGGTTACACAGCGAGTCTGTGGCAGAGGTGAGTACAGGACCCAGATCTTTTCACTCACTGTTCTGGTCTCAGACTGCATGGCCATGCTTCCTCCTCCAACACTAATGTGACTGTGATGTTAACCGCACAGCCATCCCTCCACAAAGGCCTTCTCCCGGCCCACGGGCATCATGTGAAAGGTATTTATAAACCAAATAGCCCAGTGGCAAGCAGAGTCCGGGGCTGTTCAGTGTTATCAGCATTCTGACAGGAGGATAAAGAACACACCTAGGGCAGGGTCTCCAAAGTTTGGCTAACCATTATTATTTGCATTCCTGTAGCACCCAGGAGCCCTAGCCAGTGACCAGGACCCCATTACGCTAGGTGCTGGACAAACACAGAACAAAAAGGCGGTCCTTTCCCCAAAGAGCTTCCAATCTTAGACAAGACACAATGGATGGAGACAGACATCCTACAATATGGCCTGCACCTTCCCTCCTATTTATTAATGGAGTGGCCTATATAGCCTGAATGCTCAGACCTGTGAACTCTGCAGCCTGCACCTCTATATAGAAGACGAGGCTGGCTGCAACCTGCTCTGTTTTCCATAAGCTAAGGGCAGCTCCAGCTCTTGGCAGATTGGTAGTGAAGCCCCTTTGATTGGGCACAATTTGGGCACCCCAGCAAAACTTAGGGCAAGCCTGGAAGTCCTTATTTATCTTTGGCCTGGTCCTGAGAATGGCAGAGAATCCTCTAAGCCCTGACTCAGATAGCCTTCTCTCCAGCCTTCACAGGAGCTTTCCCTGAGTAAGAACTGAATAAAAAATGATGGCCCAATTGTTCCCCTCAGACCTGTGCATGGAGGGGACCCTCTGCACCAGCTTTTGCCCTTTCCATTGAGGACCGGACTTAGTCCTGCTCAGTTCCCAGCTGTAAATTTGCTAAAGAGTAAACACAGTCTGAGGCTGCATTTACTGTTTAGTGGAGCTCCCTCTTCCATGCTTGGCATCTCCTTTAAGGCATTCCTGGGGCAGCTGATTGTGGGAGACGATATGGAAATTGTCCAGAAAAGAGGGAGGGGGAACAACAGAGAGCCCAGCACCCTTGAGTATCCTGTGAAATCAGCAGAACCCTGCCCCAACACAAGAATCGGCAGGAAACTCCATAAAGGGAACCTCTCAAGAGTTTTCCTCCCCTACCCACGGCCCACAGGAGGGGCGATCAGGCCTTGAATAAGGACCTTGACAACCCATAATGCATTGCCACAATATCAGACATTGGTGTCACTTGCAAAACCATGTTCTTGCCTGGCTGATTTTTACAGTTTAAGGAGAAAGAGCTCCTACTGCCCTTTTGAAAATGTTGACTGACCCCTTAGCAAACATTAGACTGTTTCCTGGCAATCAGACGATCCTAGCCTACACTGATTTAGGTAACCCTGATTAAAAATTCAGGTCTGACTGAGAGTAGACTGCTGCCAATGGAAACATAATGCTTTGCTTCAAAAGTATATTGAACCACTAATCCACTGGGATGTTTGGTTAATAGGAACAAGTGCCATTAAATAATGCATCCATTAGGCCTGTAGAATGAATAATTTAAATGCAGATCTCTCTCTCTCTCTCTCTCTCTCTCTCTCAAAAATACATATTTTTGTGCCATTGCAGCATGCTATCTGAAGACCAGGACTGAGCATGAAGGATTATCCTTATCTAAACTCGGGGAAGGAAATGCGTGAAGAAGGGGGGGAAAATCCTTCATTCCAGACTGTTAGATTTGACCCTCCAAGTCCCTCTCCAGAGGCAAGTTGCTGGTGGATGAACTAATAGTCCAAAGTTAGCGCATCAAAGCGGTGTGACCAGATGTGCAAAGTTATTTATTTGAAAAAGAATCTTGGTATAGAGCAATGCACACCTTCCTATCCTAACGTACAGTGGGTTCTTGGCCCTTTGTGACCGACTTTACTTTCTCTCTTATGCAGAGGGTGCCCTGAATCCATGGGTGTTCACTGATTGAACTTAGTGACACAAAACCAACTTGTCTATACTGTTTACAGCACATGATTCATGGCCTCATCCTAAGCCCGGTGAAGCTAGTAATATGACTCCCATTGACATCATGGGGCTTTGGATTGGGCCCTGAAAGATTTGTATAATATTTTAAAATGGCCTTAGTATGTAATCATACTAAATAATGAATTTATGGTCAGTTTTGCTCTGCTATAGAGTCACCCAGTTCTTTCCTTCTTAGTCATCCCGAGCTTTTCTGTCTATCACCTTGTTTTTTTTCACCATCTGAAGGCTGATTTCAATCAGTTGATTATGAAGGGAATCTCTTGTCCCATATTGTGAATCTATATGCATTTCCTCCAAACGACCTCTCACATCTGTTGTCTTCTACTGTTGAGCCACCTTGCATTGTCCCCCCACAGACACACTTTGAACGTGCACTAAGCATATTTTCCTCTTCCGTGCTGTGTCTATAAGAACATTTTCTCATTTTTTTTCTGACAAAGTAAGTGCATTTTAGTCGATGTGCTTGTCAATCCATTTTTTACAGTGTCTCTAGCAAATCAGTTCATCGGATTGTGCCCCACTTCATTAGTGTTTGTGTTTGATTCACCAACTCATCCTGCCGCTATCGTTTGTAAGTCAGCGCACTTGGTAAGAGACAGATCCTGCCACCCTGAGTGACGCTGAGTAGCATCGGACTAATAATACAACGACCTGCTCCGAGAGTGAGGTACTGATCAGTAAGAGTGAGGGTACGTCTACACAGCCCAGGGTAGAGAACCTCTCAGCCCGGGTCAACACACTCGGGCACTAACACTGTAAAAATAGCTGTGTGGACAACGCTTTGAAGCGGCAGCTTGGGCTGGAGCTTGGAGTCAGAAGCCTAGGGAGGGGGTGGGCTTGCTGCCAGGGCCTGTGTAGATGCACTCTAAGGAGGGAAGATGCTGCCCCTAAGCAAACACCAGAACGCAGGACAATACAACTGCACTTTCTTAGCTGAAAACTTAAGAGAACAAATTTGTTTTTGTAAGCAAAATAATCGGTGCTCAAGAAGGACGAAGTGCAGTAAAGATTAACATGGAGGGCCACATCCTCCACTGGGGTAAGTCGTTGTAGCTCCGTTGGCTAAGTTATTATTACAACTTCAATTTACACTCATTCTCCTCTCATTCACAATGGTGTAACTCAGGAGTGACCCCACTGAAATCAGTAGGATTTTACTGGTGTAAAACAGGCGTCAATGAGAAGAGAATCATGCCTGGAACGAGTACAACAACGCTATTGCAAAGGAATAATCTTCAGAAACCTGTGCCTGTCAAAGCAGATATGCAGCAATAGAGTGTATTTTCTGTGCACTGAGGTTAGGTTTTTAACAGAATTGTACTGTGGGGGGGGTTGTTTGTTTCTGCCTTCATGGTGGCCAATTTCTGATTTTTCATTGAAGTCAGTGATGTAAATTCTGTTCTTAATGACACTAGTATAAATCTTGAGTCATTCCACGAAGGTCAGGATTTACATTGGTAGAATTTGCCCAGTTTGGAGTTTGTTTGCCACTGATTTCAATAACCCCAGGAACTGCCCCATTCTGAGCACTTCTTAATGATTTTTGGATACTGTTTCACTGATTACAAATGTTTTGTAACTTGCATTATTATCAGGTGTAACAAAATTGTCATTGAGAGGCAGAATAAAATTGGTTTTAACTAATCATGTTCACACTGGTGTGTGGGAAGTGTCTTTCCTAAGGTTCCTTGTCACTCATTTTTTTTATTATTGTTATTTTAATGATTAGTTTGTTTGTTTTTCAAACCACTTCGGAGAAATTAGGTTTCAGAATAAAAGGAACCAGGCCAAGAACAAAGGGTGGCCTGGCTTAGTCGGTGCTGCTCACGTAGTCCAGGGTGAAGAGGATCTTCTGTTCTGTTTTCACGGCAGATGTAAGTTTTAATTATTGCAATCTAAAATAATCCAGTAAAAGATCAACGCCATGACTGGCCAGTAAGGGTTGAACTCTGCTCTGTCATTCTAGTGTAAGTTCAGAGTAAGTCTACTGAATTGAGAGGAGTTATTCCTAGTTTACACTGGGGTAAGCAAGAGCAAAATTTGGAGCCAAGTGCCTGTTTTTCCACATGCATCAACAGTCTCGAATGGTGGCACCTAGCCAGACTGACGGACTAGAAAATACCTAGTTAAAAAACTTTGGGTGAGATTCTGCTCTCATTTTCAAGGGAGTAAACCTGGAATGACAATAAAGTTGTACCTGCTTTCTCCTGATACATTTTGGCCAATTAAAGTTAACGTGTTCCGAGGTCATTAGTGTTCCGCGAGCAGCAATGGTGAATGTGTTCAGGGAGAGTGGCTAATGAGAGAGCTGCAGAAAGTCCCTCAATAAACAATAAAGGTTAGAGTCCAGTAAATCCAGAGTCAATTCCATAGACTTAGTGGAGTTAGCCCTGATTTACATTCATGCAATGGAAATCAGAATCTGGCCCTAACATTACCAAATATTAAAGTGCAGTGTAGTGAACAATCTGGGCCTTTGCTTCTCTGCTCAGGGACCTGGAGGACAGATTTTCAAAGTCACCTCAAGGCGCAGCTAGGCACCAAGTGTGATTCTCCAAGGTGCCTAAGCAGGATTGCAATCAGTGGGACGTAGGCACCTAAGCTGCATACGTGCTTTTGAAAAACCCAGTAGGTGCCCATCTGCAATTTTTGACACCTAAATGTCTTTGAAAATGTGTCCCTTAGTGTAACTGGGAGTTGGGCCCCCATTTCTGCAGTGATTGTGAAGATAACAAAGGTTGCTGACCTACAGTACTATTGATTTGTATAAACACACAGACTTTTATATTAAACCACTTGAATCATGTGAAAGAGCGAATGGAAGAAACCCTGCAATTTAGTATGTCTAAGTTTTGCTTTACTGATGTGCTGATATTGCTGCTCTTCATTTATTCACGTATGTTCAATAAAGCTGTGCCTGTCCTAGGATTTTCAGTCATGTTTGACAACTGGTGTCAAACACAGCTCCCCCAGCAGCCCCACTCAGCCAATGTCAACAAGGACTGTGCTGCTGCTGGGCTGGGTCACTCAAGTTCAGTGCCTCTTGTAAGAAAGTGGGAGAGACCCTGATAGAACAAGTGGTCAAGCATGTGGGTGCTGGACAAAGTTTGAACCTATCCACACCAATGAGACAGTAGCTTTCAGCAATGGGTGAGGGGAGTGGGTGGAGTCACATTTGGCAGAAGAGGCTGAAAATATGAGGCTAGTGCCTGCTTCTCCTCTGCAAAACCTTCTACGGGCATGCCCCTCCACCCCCAGTGGACCAGTTCTAGCATCTGTTACAAGGACTGGAGACTCTCCAATGAAGGCCTCCCTTACAAGGGATAGCCCCCATTGGCCACCAGGGGCTGAAACACTGCCCAATAGGTAGGTCCTTCATCCTCGCCCCATAGACTTACCCCTTGTGGCCTGAGCAGCTAACCAAAAATTTGGGGTCTTGCAAGTTGTTCCACTTAGGAGGAGAAATTGAGGGTGGAGTCAGGTACCTTTGATGCAATCCTGTTTATTCACAAAGTCCTGTTTCCCTGAACACAAGCAGACCCAAACAACAGAAGAGCGTTTCCTTGCCCACAGCCCAAACCACTTTTAGCGAGTCCTGGACCCAAAAGCTTTCTCTCTCTAAAGGCTTTTCCAGAACCACACATCTCTGCTTGTTCTGGCTGTGTCTGTAGCTTCCTCCTCCGTTTGTGTGCGCTTCTTTCTGCATCTATTGCGGTGTGCTTCTTCCCCCAACATGCACACATTTACCCAAAACAATACCCAGCAACACCCTCCACCCACATAGTTCTGACTCCTGGCTGAACTTGCATATGCCTTTTTGAGGTGGAGGCTGCTATAAAGGAGCTTAACTGTTTCTTACCTCTGTCTTAAATGCAGGGCAGCGGTTATAACCACCAGTTTCAACCCCCAGCAACGTGTACTGGCCATGAGGACAGACACATCTAGGTCTTTTTTTCTTTTTGCATTTGTTTTCAGTTCAGTTGGGCAAAGTGTGTTGGTTTTTTTGCTGTGTTTTTAATGAATGACTGTTAATCTCAAATGTGGCCACACTACGCTAGCAGCATGTGGATGAAGTTTAAGCAACATGCTCTTAGCCTGCAGTTACAGAAACAAAAGACATGTGGTGTGCTTTTTCTGGCCCTAACAGATAAGATCAATAGCAGGAGTTTCCAAGTGATCTTCTTCTTGATGAAAGATACAAGCCACTGCTTGCAGTTTTCCCTGAACAGTGACAAATATTTGCACAGAAACGTATTCGTTTTCAGTAATTTACAAGGGTTTCTTGATTGTTTGGGGGGTGTTTTGAGAATAAAAATTGACTATGAAAATGGAAAAAGTGAATGGGAAAAGCTGCCATTTGCAGTGTAGATCAACGAGCTTCATTGGTTCTACAAAACCCAGGTCCATCTATTAACTACGTACATTGACACAGACACAAAGCACCAAGGTAACAGAAAGAAAGGAGCTGGATCTACAGACACCCAAAACAACTTGAGGTTATGCTGAGCTACAGAGATATCAGTGACATCAATGGAGATGGTACCGGTGGAGCTGCTCCAGGCTGACCCTGTTGTAACTGAGAGAGGAATTGAGCCCCGTGGCTAAGGGACATGTGAACTGCTGCTCCCATGTTTCACAGCACAATGGTAATGCTGAAGTCTAATTATGACAGT